CAATATTTTTCCTATATAATGGTTTTCATAAGATTTATTATATCTTTAAAATCCTTTTCGTCCCTTACTGGAAACTGAGCAACTTATGGCACTGTTCCTAGCTTTTAATTGTATCAACACATTGATAGGAATTTGCTCTTCTGTCATCTATTTTGTCGACAAAACAGATTTGAAGCGCATCATATTTATTAGCTTACATCAGACAGTTTCTGTTAAAGCTCAACTCCTGCAATCATTGTCAAATACAGTAACCGTACCATTCAGAAAATCATTCAGTAACAAGCCAACTTTGTCACAGACTTATCCTCAGTTAAAAAAAAAAAAAAACTTTAAAATATTGCAGGTACTCCTTGCATATGCATGACAGCTGTGTGCTATCGCTAAAATTTGCGCACAGTGGAAAATGGTTCGTTTCAACTGGCAAGGATAACATGTTATGCGCATGGCGAACCCCCTATGGAGCATCGCTTCTTACAGCTAAAGAAAGCTCGTCAGTACTGTCATGCGATATATCGTTTGATGATAAATATATTGTCACCGGATCTGGTGAAAAGAAGGCTACCGTTTATGAGGTGGGTTACTGATCTCCTATTTCTTGACTGTTTTTGTTGCCGTGATAAATTGTCATATTTTTTATTGATAAAATCTTTACTTTATCACTTTGTATCTATTTGTTTTGTCTGTCTCTGCTATTTACATTGTCTTAGATCTATTACAGTGGTGTTTGAAGGGGACCTCCCTCTTGAAAATGTATGACGGCTGCAATATTTAAACAGGTCTTCGAATAAAAAAAGCCCAAAGATGGTCAGTTAATGGCTTTCCCTGTACTAACAAGAGTAGACCAAATGACATCTGTGTATTAATTCCTCATTTATTCTCTTGCCTTCACACATCTGCTAGACTATTAAAATTCTAGTTGATGCTATGCTGTACAAATTTTGGATTAAGAGATATAAACAAAGTATAAGATGCGAATAGAGGTTTTCGCAGTGTTTAATTTTTCCCTGCCACATGAGAAGGGATGAAGTAGTACGAAATCTCTTACCAAAGATATCACGTGTAGACTCTCAAATTATATATCCTTAGAATAGGTTGAACCTAAACCAAATCACATAGGGGTTTCTAGCATATTTGGTTCACCAAATTATCCGCAAGGAACAGAATAGATGTCGAATAGTATTGGAATGAAACTTAAAACATTGAGGATTAATAAATTTTCTGTCCTTAAAAATCTCCACTACGAAAATTAGGTAAGGTTACCTTGGTTTGGTAAGATTACCTAAAATTAGGTGACCTTACTTTGGAGATGTAGTTCATAGGGGCTTGGTATATAATGCTTGAGTAGGTAGCTTTGCTCAGCTGGAAAAAGCCGAGTTTGCGTTTTAAATATTTACATAATTCGTTCCTAAATTGCTTTTGCGCCAACGCCATCATACTGTCCCATGACCTGTGCAGGTTGTCGTTTGTCCTAAAACTGTAAGTGTTCGAGCAAAATCCTGCATACATGTAGGAAGTGGGGCAAGGATTTTGCCCAGCACGGGTTTGCAGCGCAAACGCATTCCATTTTTTTTGTAGATTTCGTTGTTGATATCGGTAAATCCCCTATTTTTGTAATTTTCGCTTGATTTGTGTTGTAATACTTTCTATTAATCATGAGTTGATTTCAGTATGACTCCGACCTTGTAATTGCTGGTACCACTCCTCATTTGGTCAAGATCGCCCATCATTATCGTTACTTTTAGTCGTTGTTTTCACTAATTTACTTTGTTTTACTTCAGCATGAAGACAATTTCGATTTCCACTGAATTTCACACCGTTAAATATTTTTCTCACTTGTTACGTTACACTAAACCGAATTAGCACTTCCAATACATAGGGCCCGAAGTAAAAAGGCGGCCGCCGTGCTTCCTCTTCCCATCCAACACAGCGAGACACTTGTAAAGTTGTAACGATTGTTTTTGCTATTCGGTTTTTAAATTTAAAACGGGGGGAGTGGCATACCAAAAACTGGATGAGTGTAGTGTCTCATGTAAGTCGTTATGCACTGTGAATAGATTTTTTCACAAGGTAGATCCATGAAAAACAAAAAAAAATAACTTATAAAAAAATAAGTTATTAAAAACAGTTTAAACACTTTAGGCCTATGCGAGTTAATACACATACATCACAGACATTCCATCCGGATAAGCTCCAAGTGACAGTGATGGGCATCTCTAACGTTCCACGCCCAATGCATAATATCATACCTTCAAATCGTATGAAATGTAGAATTTTGGTGGATGGACTATCCTTCTCTATGCAAAATGACGAAAGCGCCTAAAGCAGTCAAAACCGCATATTTCAGCTTAGGGTAATCATTCATAAATATTGTGACTATTCCGGCATAGGGTATGAATCCCTTTGCTCGACCAACAACATCTTTTCGAGTTAGCCAGAACTGTCCCGATGCGTACAGACCTCGATCGTCAACCTAAAAAAAACAGCGCGAATAATATTAAACTGTTTTAATACATGGTGTGATATGGAAGCTGGTATACAAAGGTAATATGATAAGAAACAATGCTATCTGACTGGGAAAAGATATGCTACTCGACCAGTATTTATAATTTCTAAATTCTGGCTGACTTCGGTTACAGAGACTGTATTCATGATTCTCCTAAATAATGGTATATAAAATTCAAATTTGAAATCCTCAGGATTTTCTGAGATAGGTATTAAACCACAAAAGTCGATATTTCACCAATTAAAGATTTTGAAATTTAAGAAATTTGTTTTTTATTGAATCAATATTTCCTAGAGTTTGATAGTGATCTAAAAAGTGACTGAGCATATGCCAACATTTTTCTGATACATTTATAGGAATGTTGATACATTGTGTATAAATGGTCTGTTGTAATAAACTCATATTTGTTTCACACTGGAATGAAATTTCCTGGTAAGAAACTTGTAAAAAATTATTTTCACATTGGAATGAAAAAGAAAAAAAGTTTAATAAACTATTTCAAGTTATAACCTGATTGTTATCTCCTTTCGTCAAAAATTTTGTTTCTTCGTTGCTTTTCTCATGGACTTTAATAACTCGATGCACAATTGGGATATCACGTCCCTCAATTTTAAATACGGTAATGTCACCAGCTCTAATTGGATCAGATTCATCATTTGTTAGCAACAACAAATCTCCTCTGCAAACTCTGATAACTATATCGCTACAAAATCGGCACAATTAAGATTGTAGTTTATGACTTGAAACATTACAGTTACTTTTCCCTTATTACAAGGTTTCACTCTTACAAATGTTTAAGAAGCGGACAAAGCCTTATTTTTGAATTCTATCCTGAAATTGCCTCACAACAATCTTAGTTCTTACCTTCATGGCATAAGTAGCAAATGCAAAGAAAGACGGAGATCTTTACTGAAGCAACATGAATCACATGTAAAAAGCATTAACGTTAAATGTCAAAAAATTTAGTGTACCTGTAAAATGCAGGTTCCATGGAACCCGATAGCACAACCACAATAGGACTTTCGGAACCACTAATAACCATCAAACCCTTCCAGATCATCAAGGCCGAGGATACAATCATTGCGAAGTTCAGGCCCTGATAAAGTAGTTGCCTGATGTTCATTCGTCTTATCTCATCGAATATTTGCAAATTCCAAACACCCATTTTAGATGTGGAACTTCCTGAAATACGAAATTTCTATCATATGAGTATGAATACATTAATAGCAGATTGGGAGAATATCACAACTCACTGGAATTTTATCAGATATTTGTATGGTAAAGTAGCCTACTCGAAAAATTACTTTCGGAACGTATCACTTTTTATTATAGAAACTGACATCGACAAGCAAAAACTACAAAAACAACTCAGATCATGAAAAATGCACACCTTAATGAGAACAAATGAGTTTTATTCTATGAGACAAAATAATGGAACAAAAAATATACAATTCAAAGAACCAACTTTTTAGTTATTTTTGCTGCGGATTTCAAAATCATTCACTGAATCCCTAGCAAAATTTTAAAAGAGGACCACAAATCAGGACCGAATCCAATACAGCTAGTGCTTCCTTATTATTTCTGGCAGTGCTGAGAAAGAAATAATAAAGAAACGGTACCTCTACATAATCAGCTTTTCGGACAAATTAACATGGGAAAGAATAATTTATATTATTATACTTAAATACGAATTGAACATTGCAAATTTTGATGTTACAATATTAGTAGCGTTCTAGCGGTATAAAAACAAAGATAAATTTTTTTTAAGTATGAAAATCGGAGATAATAAATATAGAAGAGAATCATAAGGAATGTCAACTATGCATATCATTTAAAAGAATTTAGTGCATCGAAAAAAAATGAGTTACTCATTAGCTGAAAGACCAAGATAGTCATCCATCAGAGTACCAATAGCAAAAATATCAGAAGCATCCACCCGTGTACCAATCAGTTTTACTCGGATTTCATCATCTTGTTTGATGACAACACTTTCATCTGCTGTTTTATAACATGGAGGATTTGAATTTGGCTCAAACTCCATATCGGGTGGAATGCAGTGACGACTTACAAAGCATGAAAGCGGCCCAATATCACAAAATAATCCAACCTATAAATAATCTTTTGAGGATTTAATTAAATCTAGAGTAAAACTATATGAAATTAAGAATATGCATACATGATGTAATGAACAAATTCAGTAGTGCTTATTTGTTCCATAATTTTATAAAGCAGTTTTGATTATTTTAATACAACGAGGAATAACGATGTCGTTGGCTAATTCTTTTGCAGCATAATATAAAGCAAAGACAGTGCAACACGCCAAGCTGTTGTATCAATATCAAATTCAAATTTTAATTCTCATAAAAAATTTGCGAAATAGAGGTCCTTACTTTATTTACTTGATTTACCACTGCGTCGACAACTTGCCCTTTAAATGGCCTGAATACTATCGCCTTGTATTTCACGGGATACAACACAAAACCACGACCTGGAAGAAGCAATAAGCTCACTTTGTAAAAGATTAGAGTAAATATAAAACCGAATTTTATTCAAATCTTGTCATTAAATAGGACTAACATTATTAAACAAAACACTATTTCTCAAGGCAAACCTTTGGAATCAATGACAAGTGAATTACCTGGCTGAATAAGTCCCGCACCAATATTATCAATTGTAGTTACCGCAACAACAAAGCCGTACTTCCCGGTGCAGGTGCCCTCGACCTCATTGAACAGCTTTCGTTTTACTGTCTCCAGCAAATCAGGACCGAAATACTTAGGATGAAGACATATTTCATGATCTAACGGGATATGATAGAACATATCATTTATACCTTCTCTGATTTTTTCCCTAAATGGACACATAAAATGATTAGCACAGCAACTTCTTTACTTCACTATAATTCTGCTCTCGGATACAATGTCACTTTGACCTCAGCACAGTGGCAAAAGTAATATTTAACATGTCACTCATAGCAAATGGAAAGATAACCACAACAGTATGTCCACTTCTGACCACCCATAGGGTCAAATTACGCCGTACACAAAATCTCCAACGTAGTTGGAACAAATCCAGCTGAGTCATACCTGTTTGAAAGTGAGACGTTGTGCGGCCCGTGATAAAGTGACGCCTAATCATTGTTAGCATAATTTTGGGGAGATGTGGCGTGCAATGATGTGGGGTGTGTCACATAGGAGTGATTTGAGAGTGGGTGCTTTGTTGTGAGCGATGACGCACATTGGATATAATCTCAGAAATTCTATTCTCAATATTTACATGTCGCTGTTTTTTCTGCCGAAATTTATATGTGTGGCGTGGGATCAAATGGTTCATTATAAACGAGTGAAACATGGGAGTTGGATCCATTTCTGTCGATTTCTTCGTTCGATTAGCTGAAGAAGCTTCAGCTTTTCCTTTTCGTTATTCCAGATAGCGTGAACGTTCTGGCATATCGAAACATTCACAGTAACTAGAAAGATTGTTCGCAATGGTGCGGATGAGTGTATTAGCTGACGCTTTGAAAACTATCAATAATGCTGAAAAACGTGGCAAGCGACAAGTTCTAATTCGACCATGTTCGAAGGTATTATTTAAGAGTGAGAGAAGGAAGATTAGAAAAGTGTAGTTTGCTTTAATTGATTGCTCTTTAGGAAATGGAAGTCTTATTCGTGCCGAATAGCACCTGAAAGCTGAAAGCTTTCGCTTTCTTGTGGTTGATCTTTGCATTATTCATAAATTTACATATGCAATCCTGCCTGCATTTTCATTAATATGCACAATTATTGCAGGTAATAATACGTTTTCTAACTGTAATGATGAAAGCTGGCTACATTGGCGAGTTTGAAATCATTGATGATCATCGAGCAGGAAAAATAGTCGTTAATTTAACAGGTCGTATTAACAAATGCTCCGTAATTAGTCCACGTTTTGATATTTCCTTGAAGGATTTAGAGAAATGGACATCTAATCTTCTTCCTTCACGCCAATTTGGGTAAGTACAACTTTATTGAATGTGCGTATTTTATATTATTGTGTAAAAGTGATTATTGAGCTTAAAGTCTCGAAACTCAATCTTTTTTGGGAAATGATACAGTTGAGGTGTAAAGTTTTATTTCGTTTTACAATTACAGTGTTGAGGTAAATATTTCAAAATATTGGAAGACTTTCGGATATCTGAAAATGAAAAATATTGAAAGCTGAGACTGAGTAGAAAGATCACTCCTCAAAAACTGGAACCCATACGAATTAAATGAATATGTTTTATAGACATCTTGTACTAACAACCTCAGGTGGAATTATGGATCATGAAGAAGCACGAAGAAAACATCTTGGTGGAAAAATTCTTGGGTTTTTTTTCTGATTACTCTTGGAAATCGTTTATGTTACTTGTTTGCCAAATATGGATTGATATTGATGGTAAAATGGAAATAAATTTTGTTATTTTTGTTCTCTTTTTCAAAACATTGTTTTGTAAATTTTCAGCACACAATTTACATGAAAAACAAAATTTAATGTGGAGTATCACAGATTTCGGTAGAGAGTGTGAAGCAGTGAAGCAGACTTCCATATTCTTAACAGTTACAGTGGTGTACTGAGAAGTTATTACCTATTAATCGAGCTTATGGATATTATTGATGTTTGACAGCGTTAAAGTCATCAGCTTTATGGGACATCGGAGTGATTTTTGTTAGGCATTTTAAGAGATAGGCGGGCCTGGTAGCGGTTTGTGGTATTGCAGAGTGCGTAGGACTGAAACGGTCGTGAGCAAGATTGTTTCATTTTTCTCGTGTTATGGATCTTTTAAAATAAGGTAGCACAGGTTTATGCGATGGTCTTCACAATGTTTTGAAAGGAAAAGAAATCTATGTCAAAGCAAGAGAGAGAATGCTTGTCATTGCTTTTTGATAAAGCTATTGAAACATATTAATTCTCGCAGTATGGGTTGTTGACATTTACCATGTGCATATCCTAATTCTGGCAATTAACTGTCAACAAAGGGGCTTATAGAAATTTTTGTTCATAACGCTTTGCTCATTTTATTTCTCTTCATATTTGAGGAAAGCTACCTATTTCAAGTGCACTGCAGAAATTTTGAATATTAATAGTTCACGTGAATTTTATGTGAATGTGGTTGTTGGATTGTTGCATCAATGGATTTCTAATATGTGTCACATTGCGAGTTATAAATATTGGTCAAGCAACAAATATACCATCACAAGTGATTGAACTGAATGATAAATTTCTTCAAGTCAAGAACGATGGCCTCTGGTTTGTTGACGTATGAGATGTGTTTGATTATTTTAAAATTTCGGAATCTAAAATTTGATTATTCTTTGTTAATGATTTGTGATTGTTGATAAATTTGATTAATAAAAGTTTTAAAGCTTTCCATTTTATGGAATAATAGTTGGAAATTAGTTCTGGGTGCATGATGAAATAAGATAGGAATTCTCTTCTTCAGCTACTGGCTTAAGGGCATAACACTGAATTTACAGTTACGATACTGTTATCTCATTTGAATACAAATGCTAATATTTTTAGTTTGTAATGTCCTTATTATGTATTTTTAGTTTTATGCTCCGTGGTGTGCACACTGCAAGCGCTTGACTCCAGTTTGGGAGCACGTTGGTCATGCATTAGCCGATCGTCAATCTCTTGTTCGGGTTGCTAAATTGGATTGCACTCGTTATACGAACACTGCATCGGCTTTGAATATTCGAGGATATCCGACGATTATTTTGTAAATTTTAACTTTTCATTGTAAGGATATGAAAGAAAACAGTCCGTGATATAAAATTCCTCCTTCTCTAGAATTTTTTAGTTGCAAATTTTTTTTTGACATTAAGCTTAGTCTTGCTTTTTTTCATTTCGAAATTAAATTCATTAACTTATTTGTTTTCATATACTTACAGTTTTCGAAATGGAAAAGAAATGGTTTATGAAGGTGAACGAAAAAAGGAATCAATCATTGATTTTGCAGTAAAAGCAGCTGGTCCCATGGTTGGCATCATTGAGAATGTTCAGCAGTTATCGCAGGTTTCTTTCCTTTCTTTCATATTTCATTTTAGTGATCGTTCAAATGCGGCTTGAAAAGCACCCTTAAATTTTTTGTAACTTCTATAATGTTTATGGAGTAAAATTGGGAATTTGGCGATGAGCCAATAGATTTTTTTGCGATTTGTATGTTTTCATGTATGTTGCATGTTCTAGATGCGAAAGAATTTGAAAGAGCCATTTTTTGTGTATGTGGAAGGATACCAGGATGCACAATTTCCTGAATTATTTGATAACTACAGCAGTATTGCTGAAATGTTGTTTTCGTCGACGCGATTTTATCGAGCGAAAAGAGATGTGTTTCCAAAAGCCGTTTCAATTTCTGAAATTCCATCAGTTCTCGTTTTCAAAGATGGCGAATACTTAACCTATAACAGAGAAAGTGATTAATTTCAGTCTTTGTTGTTACTGCTTGCATTTTACACTTTTACTAAAATATAGTTTGGCTACCATTCTATAAGCACTGTTGATTATCATCGAATAGCAGCAGGCGGCACATTCTGTTCATCAAATCTTGTTTTATCAGTACATTGCAGTAGAAATTGCTTACGGAAGAATAGCCGTCTATCTACAAAAAAAAATAGGATATTAACAAATTATCGGAAGCGAAAATTATATGATTCAGTAAAGAAATAGTTTTTTTCTAGGAGAAAGTTTAAGCGATTGGATTTACAGCGAACGCTGGTCTTTAATACCACTTGTTGCCTCAACAAATGTCAGGGAAGTTGGAAGAATGCGAATGCTGGTTTTGGCCATCGTAAATATGGTTGAGAGGAGAAATGGCACAACGCAAGTGGGAAAGTTTGTTTTAACAAAATTTTTTCTTAGAGCTTTAAACTTTTCAAATCCTTTTTTATCGGATTGTTTTTTTACTATGAAAGCTTAAAGTTTTTGATTTTCGATTGCTATTGATTTTAATTGATTCTTTTAATTCGTTTAGTTGCAATTCATCTATTTAGATTCTTTTCGTTAGTCACTAATGCAGCTCGAATGGTTCGTAAAGATACCTATTTGTCGAATATTTTTCAATTTGGTTGGCTGGATGGTAATGAAATAGCAAATAATGTTGTTTTGGGTACTGTAAATCAACCAGGTAAGTCGTTTTTTTTACTTTTTATTGAGTACGTTATCCATTGTTATGAATAGAGAAAAAGAAAATTTTTCCCGGTGCTCTAAAATAGTTACCATTCTATATTGAAATCTGAAATGAGCTTAATATTCTCGTAATACATTATCCTTCATTAAATTATAGTTTGTATTACCGACAAGAAAAATATGTTTGTCTGTAGAGACATGCTAACAGCAGTACATTTCTTTGTTTAGGTTTATTAGTTTTCAACGTTACAAGTTATGAATATTATTCAAGCAGTGATGCTGTAAGTGTTATGACCGAAAAAAGTATTATTTCATTCTTGGAACAGATAGCAGCAGGTGATGTACCACCACTTGGAGGACGTTCGATATCACAACGAATCAAACGTCTTTGTTTTGAGGTATCATCTCGCAATACATCATCCTTCATTAAATTATACTCAGTATTTATCAGCGAGAAAAATGTGTTTGTCCGTAGAGACGCGGTAACAGCAGCAGCATGTCTTTGTGTTTGTTTATCTTTAAATGGAAAATTTTCAGTTATTTTAAATTAGATATTGTTTTTTGTTTGGAATTATAATTGCAGAATGTCAGAGTAAATCCAGATTCATTACCACGGCTTTAATATAGATCAGCTTATTTCCGAACTTTTCTGCTTTGATTTTCAGCATTTTTTGGACATTTTTAAAATTTAATTTCTAAGCTCTAATACACTTTTTGACTTTGTAGTTTATTCTCCATTGCCTAAGATAACTATGCACCGATTCATAAATTTATGATTCAAAAGTTATGTGATAGATATATTCAACAGTAGATAGAAATAAGTAATAGGCGGGTAAATTTTATCATACAAATCATTATTTTCATTTCCCGAAATATGTATTACTTAGGAGGAAATATTTGTAAGAAATAAATGAGGTGTAAAACAATTAACGTTTCTTGAAAATCAAAGCTTCCAATTATTTGCTTTGTACATTCTCTAAGACAAGGTTTTAAATAAAAAAATTGTTATAATTATTAACTTGTAAAGAAAATTGAATTCTGAGTTTTAGAACGATGTTTAGTCATCCTACACTTGAGATAAGCAAATTTTATAAAACAATTCGTAAGTTAAAATGAATTTTACTGAATCAATTATTTTTTTTAGTTTTCAAATTTAATTTAATGATTTTCGAACAAGATTTCAGCTTTTTACAAACATAGCGGAAATGTTCAAAGCACAACCCCTGCTAACACTATGTTTACTTGGAGTGCCGTTATCGTTCCTTTCATTAATAACTTATTGCATTTGCTCAACGGATTTCTCAGTGGATCGTGATGAAATTTATCCGGATGAAGATGATGACAGTTTTATATCAGGTAAATTATAAGCTATAATTTAAAGATGAGAGAGAATCATCTATTACTAAAATTGAAAGTGAAAAAATTTTAACATTAAAGATGCCGATAATCACGAAAAGGAAGAGTAAAAGTTGGTGGTATGTGGAATTCTGCAATGTGGTGAAAGACATTTCCACAATAAAGTTTATGGGGATGAGGTCGATCGGAAGCGTCTTCGAAGCGAACCAAAATTTTAAAAAGCTTTAAAGATATGCCTAATTTATCCCGCTTTGTTTGAATTGTGTTCAGTCCCGGATCTTAAAAATATATAGAATTGTCCACAATATCTTTAAAAATAATTATCCTGTTCTGTTGTTATTATACAGAGAACTTGGTTCAAATGTTACGTTGATGAAAAATTGTTGTAGTAAAATTATGTCATCCAATCATCTCTTCAAAAAAAATTGTCTAATTACTTCAGCGGTTTAATTTAATTTAAAATGATTCTTTTAAATTGTTGAAATTAGATGGATAGTCGACTGGTGCAAAGAATTCATTCAAAATTTTCCTTATGTCTTGCTTTTGTTTGAGACCTATTTGTAGCCTAAAAAAACTCAAAAAAAAATTGTCTGACTTCTTCGACGGTTTAATTTAATCTAATATGATTCTTTTAAATTGTTACCATCCGGGAACACCGGAAAATGGAATCTTGTCGATCACTTCCTATTTTTTTATTTTTTGAAGATGTACAAATTTGTACTCTGCGATTTCCTGGAAGTTGGATTTTTTTAGTTCAATTATTATGCCATCTCTCCGCACGCATCCACGCATCTTAAAACAATTCGTATTCGGTCTGAGACATAATTTAAACTCTTATGTAGAATTTAATTTACGCGTCTAAAAATACCAATTATAGCAGCAATATTCTCCACGTTGACTGCTCATCTTCAAGATCTCATTATCCTCTGTGACCATTATACTTCATGTATCTTCCTTGTTGTATTTTAATATATTTCTCAGATGCCTGAATCGCTTACCGCAATATCTTGTGGTTCCAAAAGTGATATAGGTTCATTGAGCGTGTAAAGATAAATATTTTTTATTGTAGAACATTAGTTTTTAGCTTGATTTATAGAACATTTAGAACTTGTATCACTTTCCGCTATAATCCGCACAGCGAGCACACACGCTTGAGAAACATTTTCTTTACAGAGATTCAAGAACCGTTTCTTGTAAAATCCTGTTTTTAATCTGTTACCATATTTTGGACTCGCGCAATACCGCCGCAGCTGCTCTTATAACTCGAATTTCGCTAAATTTGAAGTGAAAGTGGTAGTTTTGCAGTGTTACACAATACACAGTGAGAAATAGATAACGGCTGGAAAAACCGATCAGACCTGTTGAAAACAATTCGGTAAATGCGCTTTATTAAAATGAAAAAAGAAGAAGCGTCTAAACTTTAGTTGGGAACTCTTTAAAAAATTAAAATAAATGACGGAATAAAAATCTGCACCAATTTTAATAATTCATTTGACGATTTTAAATTCCATATTTGTCCCAAGATTTTAAGAGGGAGTCAGAATCCTCTTTCATTTTATTTCTTTTCTCTCAAAAATAAGGCAAAACAGGACTCAGGCAAAGATCATCGTGCCGTTTTAAATACATTTTTTTCTGAAAAATGGCAAAGTGTGTTTTATGGTTTTTTTTTCAAATCACAAAACATACTTTGTCACTCGCTAGTTATTTCAAAATAAATATTCCATACAGAAACTGATAATATATTCAGAACTAATTAATATTAACAGGTAGTGGATTGTCTGGAATAAGTGATGAGAAGAAGGATGTGATAAACGTATAGCAAGTGCTCCAGAAAACGACCCATGCAGTGGGTTCTCGTGGTTCCTCCTCATCAATTCTTGCTGTCACTGTTTCGTTTGTGTTTTCTTGTGCACCATGACCTTCTTGGTTCACATCGGCCTGGAAGGCTGATTCGTTTCATCATCGAAATTTCAAATTTTCTGTGTACTACCAGTCATCAATTAAAGCATTTTCCTACTTTGCTAAGGAAAATCTTGAATATTATTAAAGAATTTATTGCAAGAGGGATAATGTAATAACATGGTAACTGGAAAAGATAAGTGTTATATCAACCACGTTTCTTTTCTTAATGATAGGACTGGGCATAGGTGAAATGCTTTAAGCAGCTGTTCCAGTGAGACCAGAACTTTTTTCAGAAGTCTTTTAGTTTTGGAATACCTGTTGTGGCTGGCGAACATTATCAACGGCTGCAGCAAGTTCTCTATCCGCTCTTTCACGATTATTTCGATCACGTCTTGCCTGTATGAACCAAACCAGCAAGATAAATATCAATACACCAAAAAATCGTTCCGCAGATGAATACACATAAACCAACATTATCAGAAAGCACATCCGGATCGCCTGGAATTTTTGCGAAAAATTTTAAAGTTTTTTAGCATGGTTTTTTTAAATCAAATTTATTTCGCTGTTAAATTCTAGAAAAAGACAACAATTGCTGAAGAATTTCAGCATGTACCTTGTAAATAACATCCAGAAAGTCTCGCTGCTGACCATCTACATCACCAGCAACTGCTTCTTGAACTATACCACCCGCAGCAGGAGCTGCAGCCAAATTTGGTCCAGCAGCAAAAGCCTAAAATCCATTGAATTCCCAAGTTCGAGAAAGTGTAATAAATGGCTGATATACAGCACCACAGATGTCTGCCAGTTTTATCTATTATTTTGAAATGTTTCAGGAGAAACAGAAAGAATTTGAGTAGACATGTTGCAAATTAGCTTATTTAAACAATTATAAAAATAGGAATTAAACCCCGGAAATGGAAGATTGAATATGTGTGATAATCAAAGGATTTTTGAATACTATAAGTCTATTTAAAACAGAGTGGTCGCCAAAATCTTTAATCATTAAATAAAGATGAAACTATTCAAATGACTAAATTAAAAAAATTCAAGTATGCGAACAACTAAAATCCAAAGTATGCCTCAGATTCTTCCACATACTGCACTAAGAAATTCCCATCATAATGTCTCGGTATTTTTTAGATTCGAGATCGAAATCATGAGTAAATATGGAGTTTGGAGAAATCAATAGTATTTCATTCATAACAGAAGCTTACAAGTTTTATTTATTTATTCCATTTAAAATGAGTTATTATTCATAAAAGAAAAGAGAAATATACCGCTTGTGGTTGATTGGCTTGCTGTGGTGGCTGTAGCACTGTCTGTTGACTGTTCAACAAAGGCTGAGATGGAAACTGAATACCATTGGAACTGTTTTCTAATGCAGACATCATCTGATACATACTACAATATAAATTTTATGCAAATGATACTCCTGAGGAAACTAGAACAGAATCAAAGCAATTATGTTCAGCATACTACTTTTCATTGAATGACTGAAAAGAAGACAACAGTAAGCTTCTCTCTTCCCAAGCGTTAATAGTCATGATAGTTTCGCCGTTGTTAAATGAGTTTTTTAACATTCAAGAATCTTCTTAGCAGAAAAAATTCACCTTCCAGAGTTTATGAAAAGGTTTGAAACTTACTAATTATTGTATGAAATCATATATGCTTGATATGCGCTTTGAAATTGAGCACTTGAGGAAACAAGCATTGATTGTGGTGTAGCAAAGCTTCCTTGAGCAACACTGCTAGTCCATAAAGGATATGTGTAAAGTGGGAAGATACCATTGACATTATGATTTTGTGCTTGTGTTGCAGTTCCCAAAGAAGTTGGGTTTGCTCTGTAATGATGCAACAAATTTGTATAATTAAAAATCGCAATATTAATAAAACCTGAAATTCTTCTGAGATTTAGAAAAACGAAAAAAAAAGAAGTTACTGTGTATGATTAATGGTACGCCTTCTGAGCACTGATGCATCCACATGAGTATTAAAGTCTTTGGGAGGACAAACAAGATGTATCACGTGAACATTTCCATCATCGATTGGTCGAAGTTCAAATACTGACTTAAGAGTGTGATCGTCATGTAAACAATGTCCAGCATAGATTAGGCGTTGTTTTTTAACCTCCTAAAAATGGAAAATAAAAATGCTAATAATTTTATCATAATGACAATGAACAAATTCATCATAAAATTTAGAATCATCTTTCTTCATTGTGGATAAAACTAGGAACAAATAACTTTCTGCATTTTTTGAAAAAAAGTAATTGAAAAGCAAATATTCTTTTCTCCTTATCTAGACGGATTCTTCTATTCCGTTTTTTAGCTCTACATCTCAATTTGCATTATTTCAGAAATGAAACAAAAGAAAAGTATATGAGAGATCTCCGAAAAAAAATAATCTACCGGTTTCGAAGGACAATCAATGGCAAGTTTTTCTTTGAGCTGAAGAACGGTCCATGACGAAAGACAACTTATAGGTAAATCATCGAATGATTGCAGCGCACACCGTATTATCAAACGGACATTTTCATCATTTGATCCAGTCATCCTCACCTTAACATATATATATATATATATATCCAAAACTATTAATGCATAATTCAGAAAGCATTAATTAAAAATGAATAATAAAGATCGAAATGCGTCATGTGGTTCTCACGAACACAAAGAAGGCCTCTTTTCTAAAGCGCTCCCGCACATATGAATATTCCCCCTCCCAATATCAGCCTTTTATTAACTGTTCCCGAAATATTGTACAAATGTATTAAAAAATTATGTACAATAGATGTGAATAATTATATATAATAAATGAGAGTGGAACCAGAACAGTACATAACCAATTAAGCGCAGAAAGAATAAGTGACAATTTTAAAAAGTTTGAATGAGAAAGAGGGGTTTTCAAGCTAAGTAGCACCATGGTTCGACATCCTTTAAGTTCTTTCGAGATAAAAAAAATGTTACGGAACATACATTTTTCGAAAACAAAATTAATCACAGAGAATTATGAATGACAGAATTCAACAATCAGTAGTCAAAGAGATTCCCTTCTTCTACCAAATATCTTGAAATGTGACAAACGCCTTATTTCGATTCATAACTGTGGGTGATCAATACATCACCACAAAATTCAGCCATAGTCATTGTATAATATAATGCTTAGAATAATTTCTAAGAAGATCTTAACAAATGTTTATTTTTTAGAAAAAGTGAACAGAAAATAAGAAAATGCATACAATTTAAACAATTTTGAAAAAAAACCAGCTCTGGAAGTGTCTAACAAAATATCCAACAATTTATAACAGCGATTCAGCCGTTCCGACATAAAATCTCATCAGGAAAAATATTATAAAAAAGAAATTCTGCCAAAGTTATTTGACTGTTATCATACCTTTCAAATATTCAATTCGATTAACAATAACAACCGCATGCAATTTGAACGATTTTGTTGGAAGTAATTTGAATTCAACTTCAACCAAATTTATTTAAAAAATTATAAGGCAGATGGTAACTTATTCAAATTACTCATGTATTAAATTGATATAAGGTTTGCCTTCGTGAAATACTTTTAAATATATGTCATTCGCCTTTTCAACTTTAATTGACAGCTGAAGTTGGAAAACCTAATGAATATTTCTGAGCTAGATTAGTTCATATTTAAATGACAGTATAATTAATGACACAGAAAACTGAATAGTTTGAAAAGTTAGTCAAAGTTAGGAATAATAATCTTTCAATACGGCCTGACTACAATATTCACCTATTTCAACTAAAAAAAATGTCTGGCAGTGCCATTACTTTGACGATTTCATACAACGAAATTTGAGAATGATGAAATTATGATTGTAACGCAGAAGAGATCTACACAACAAACATCTTCTAACGATGTAGAGGAACCAGCCGGGCCTCACCCCCGCACATTACTTCGTTGTCCACGACAGGTTGTGACACGTGAAATAAGGTAATTTATGACTCGTCCCTTCCAAATTTTCGGGTTTCTTTTTTGTGATAGTTAAAGGGAAATGGCGTGATGTGGGATGTAGACGTGATGCTATTCGCTTTGTATTTATGACTTATTTAGACGTAGTTGTCTCACTTTATCTCAACAGAGAGTTTTTAAAAATATGCTTGAAAGTACAGTGTCTTAAATAGTGAAGAAGTCATTATATATGATTCTCTTCTTAAACCAAATAACTGATCACTCCTCTTCCACCAGACTTTGGAAATCTTGGGAAAAAATCTTCTCGTTAAATTTAAAACGCACTTTCAGTTTTATTAGGAACTTTTGAAAATTCGACAATATTTGGATGTTTTTATTAAGGATGAAACTCTACTGCCATATGTTGTAAATGTTTCAGTGACATGATGTTTGAAGCGGTATTGAGAGACATTTTATTCTCAGTGATATCTAATTCCGCTTCAGGTAATCTTGAAAATGTCTGAATTCTCGGACTGGTATTTTGGTGTACCAGAAATCACCAGGTACTGGTTTACCGGAAGTGTCGTTTTGCCGCTGCTGGGCCGATTTGGTTTATTCAGTCCTTATCTAATGCTTCTTGAATGGAATCTTTTTTTTCACAAATTTCAGGTTTATATTTAATTAAATTTTCGGTCAAAAATTAAGGATGTTGCGAATCAAGTTTTCAAACAATCTGTTTTGGGAGATGGTATCCTTGCATTGTTTTGGTCAACACTGCCGAGAATTGTATCCTACATCATTTCTATTGTTCGGAATTTTTAGCCAGCTCTGCAGAAACAAGTACTTCCATGAGTTTTCAAATATATGAAGCTTGCCTAGAGATTTTACATGATTTGTTTCAGATATGGCGACCAGTAACAGCGTTATTTTATTACCCACTAACTCCTTCTTCGGGTTTTCATTGGCTATTGATGCTATATTTCATGTATAATTATTCTCGTGGCATTGAAACTGGACTCTTTGATGGTCGACCAGCCGACTATCTTTCTATGCTTATTTTCAACTGGATCCTTTGCACCGTTAGTACTTCATGCATTTAGGATCCTCACATGATGAATAAATCATTGAAAAACTAAAATGGATTCCATGAAATTGATTTTTTTTATAGGCTTGTAAGCAGTAGTTCCATGAAGTTTTTATCACTTCGACTATCAGGGCTAGTATCATAATCTGAAAAAATTCATACCGCAGCACTTTGCAGGATCGCTGAAAAATTCTGGTATTGCTATGGTTGCAGCTAAAGCATGTCCATACTGTTAACGTGAAGTCTTCAATTTTTTGTGTATCAGTCAACTTTTGTAAATTAGCTGATGCTTTTGTCGCTTTTAGATAATATGTTTGGCGGCTGGTGTGTATTTCCTACTAGAACCAATGGTTCTCAGCGTATTGTACATATGGTGTCAAATGAACAGGGACCAAATTGTTCAATTTTGGTTCGGAACACAATTTAAAGCAATGTATTTACCATGGATACTTGTTGGTTTCAATATGATTCTTCGAGGAGGTGGTATGAATGAATTAATCGGGATTCTTATTGGACATGCTTACTACTTTTTGATGTTCAAATATCCACAGGATTTCGGCGGTCGTGCTTTTTTGCGAACGCCACAAATCTTGTAAGTTTTGTCCGTTTTTTTGTGTAAATTGTAAAATAGTTTCCTTATTACGTAAATGCTAGATAACATCTAACCTTTACCGCAAATCTTTTCTAAAGTCTGCAAATTTCTAGCTCGAAGCCTGAGGTAAAAATAACTTCTCTGTTGCCAATTCGATATTGCTTTAATATTTTGATTCGATCTTATCATCAATCTTTTCACGTTGTTGATATTTAAATACATTTGGACATCATGATATTTCTAATTCATGTATAAAATACACAGGTCACTCAACAATGAACTGACTTGATTAACTGGGTCATGAAGCAAGCTAATCTCAACCTCTTATAGATACAGATGGTTTCCAAATCGGACAAACGTTGTTCACGGATTTGGTCAGGCGCCATCATACAGAAGAACAAATGCAGGTGATGGTGGAGCAGGTAGACATAACTGGGGACAAGGCCATCCGTTAGGTGGTCCAGATTGAGAATCTATAATTTTTGATATTATTCGTATTTACATTCGCATAGAAGATCCTTCAGATATCCACCCGCTATCGAATTGTTGATGACCATTCTGAACTTGAAATTTCATCATCATTTTATTATGTGCTTTATTTCCATCTAGGATTCAGTCTAATTGCTCAGAATGGTCTCGTTGCCAGATGAGAACGTTCATGTTCTTTACTCCAGTTAGGTTTGATCCGTTTATTGTTTGGAATGTTTGAGATGCTTTCAATGTTTTCATTTATATTATTTAAAAAATGTAAAATCACGTGCTTACCTCATACATTACTTCAATTAGATCGAAATACTTCACGTAGAGGATTTATTTCCGGAACAGAACGCTTGGAATAGATTGCAACTACTGAAAGACTCCAAATAAAAGCGGACAAATGCACTTTTTAAGAACTGTAGAGCCTACTATAATATGCTTATTTTCACAATTTAGAACAGTGTGATGTGCTTCCCCAAGTTAATTAGTAAGCTTTTTTATCATTAACGACAGAAAAGGCACTCAGCAAATTAAACATCACTAGAAATAGCTCTCTAAGCATCAAAATTTCAGGGAACCGTAATGTATGAAGAGGCCAATGAAAGAAAGAGCATGAAGCTATTGAGACTCCGATTTTATACGAAAACAAGTAAAATAATTAATAAGCAGAAGCAAAGAGAAATGAAAGCTACGACATAGCGATATAAGTAAAGCGATGCGAGGTCCCCGTATTGTTGTAAGAAGTAAATTAAATGCTAGAGTTCACTGGTGTCACAAAGAGCGCAAAACATTCGAAAAACGATTAGATGGTCATTTCTAGAGACAAATATAGATTGAAATTTAAAAGTGGGGAATATGTCCAAAGCGTGCTCTTGTCTGCGTGTAAGTAACAGCCCAACAGAATTTTCAGAGATTTCAAGAAAAAGCAATGTGGATGGGAGCTCAATTCTCTCATTTTGTTGAAAAATTCACACATTGCACATTCACAATAAACCAAGAGTTTTGAGGAAATTGCTTTAACAAACTCTAAATATTTCTATTCGCAAAAATTAAAACTACCGAGGGGGGTCACGAAAAAAAACACTCCAAAAATTTTTCAGTTCTTGGGGATGCTGATGTGTAAAAAATAGAGAAAACAATGGATCTTCATCTTATTTGCAGGAAAAAAAAAACTTGTCAAGTGATTGCGATACTGACATTTGAGTAAGAATAACCTAATAGCGACATCTTGCAAATGAGAGGTAGAATAGTGGAGTAATGTAGCAATTGCTTGTTGGCACCATATTTGCGCTCCATATCGGACTAATTCAGCAATCGTTTATGAAAAAATGTGGCAACATGTTTTCATTTCTCGAAAAAATTCACATTATGTCCTCTGTGGTACCTTGACATTTACATTCGGAGTGACAGTTGTACGCATAGCTTTGATTGAACTTCTTGTAGACGATGAATGCGATGGATTAGTTACATTAGGTCTATTGTCAATCTGTTGCTGTTTTTGCCTATGACGCCTTCGTTCTAGTTCACACCGTAAACATCGTGATAAATTTGCTTCACGAAGACAAATTTGATGATACAAATGACCTGAAATTTTGCCTATAATATAAATTTAGCCAGCAAGTAGCAATTCGCGAAATTTCTTCAAATTAAGCTTACTGAACTAATATAGCATGACATCAGAGATCAAAAATGAACATATGGTATCTAATCCTTCCGAAAGAAACTTATAGTCCCACTCATTAAGTTATTCTAACTGTTTACTGTCTACCGTAGTACGATTCTATTCAACTGCTATTACTTCTACATTCTTATGACTGCTAAGCGGATTCAGTGAAAGAGAAATTTTCCAAAGTTCAAGAAGAAAACGATAACGTCCAAATACTTACCACAATGAAATACTGTAATGTAGCCATCATCTTGCGTCACCCGCATTTTCAGTGGTAGTGTACAACAAGTACAGTTGCTAAAAACAAGAAATTTTAAAGAAAGATAGAATTCTATAAGAAATTATTCAGTGCTCGAGAAAATATACAGATCGAGTAGCATAAAATGCATTTACATAGATACTAACCCATCAACAGAAATAGTTAGACTTCCACTCAGTGACTTTGAGCTGTTTACCATACCAGGGACATCGAAGGCTGATGCTGACGAGATTGTTCCAACATCTTTGACTGTCGAAATTTTGAGCTCTGTCAGCAGATCAGTGATAACCTGAAACAATTTAAAATGTCAAAATGGTGTAAAACAAACCAACAGAATTTCTTAAAGAAATCTTGACTCGAAAATGGTCATATAAATATGCAAAGAGATGAGTTTGGAATGAGTGATGGTGATCCGAAATTCTATTAGATAATTCTTATAAATATCTGAAATGAACATCAAAATCTATCATTAACTACTTGATCGCAGTATGCAAAAAAGAAATTGCATACCGGGAAACCATTTAACTTATTATATAGTCACATCCACTGACACTAAAAACGGTAGATCAAATTTCAGGTAACCATTTAAATTTTGATAGCAATCTTCGTAAAACCCTTACCTCCTTAGGCATCAGATTGAACAATCTATTACACTCGTATGCTTTTATAACGGCAAGCCACTGCCAATCCTCTGTTGTTAAATATGACGTCAATTTCTTATTGTTCTTCAGAAATTCAAAGACTGCACTGAGACCTTCACAGTAACGCATACACAGCAGAAGCTATAATCAGATGGATAAAGCAAGGTTTTAGTCAATGATTTATGTCACACTTTAAAATTGCTGAAGTTGCTATGATTTAAATTAAAAACTTGGCAAATTCACTTTATCCTAATGGTCACCATAGATAAAAACACAATTTCGCATTATTTTTGCATCAATTGTGGTTAATATGTCCATTCGTTAATAACGAAATCGAGCACTTTTCCCTAGTTATCAACTACAAAAGATTCATCTGCTCATTAGCGCTGATTTATCCATAAATTATTTACTACAGTTCAAATCAGGTTTTCTAATGACCTGAGAAATCTTTACGGTTGGCAACCATAAGAACTTTTTCGGACATTCGTCGAATTCCAGTTCTCTTGAAATTTCGCGATGAGGATTGGTAACAACCTTGTTTTGGATTCCAGAAGGTTCTAAAAAATTTTGCCAATATTTCAAGCATAAAACAACTTGAGTAATAAAAAACTGGATGTGGAGAAATTAAAAAAAATTCTTATAAATTTGAATTCACCTCAAAATTCTTCATCTTTATTTCCAGATTAACTAACTTTTTGTAACTATTGTGATATTTTTGAAAAATACTCGATATACTAAATCTTCGTCCCAGTCCTTGGCTTCCATTTGCACTAAATTTTCAGTGCATTTCTTTCTCATGCTTCTTTTTTCAATTCGTTCTACCGTTTCTCGAAGTGACAAAGCTTTCTGTTCTAAAAAAATAGAAAAGAACTCTTTATGCACTTTATTTTTCTCCTTTTCATTTACGAATATTTACAAATCTTTTGATTATTCAGTAGCATTCTTTTTAACCCCGGTAATGAAAAAGTTCTTACGTCATCAAGGAAGCATAGTGGGTTTGTTGAAATGAGAAATATCATAATAGAAACGTACTTAAATGATCATCGAATTCGAAAATTGTTGCGCATGCATTACAGAGATTTCCCGAGAAACTTTCCCTATTATTCACAGCAGCAGCGCGATACTCGAACAACTTTGTCCATTGCCCAGTCGCTATGGGGACGCCACCAGCAGCAAATTCGTCAACGGTAATCCGTAACTGTGACATTTTTGGTCCAAATGTCATAATGTGATGCCAAAGTCTAGAAAAGTTTGCAATAATGAACAGTTTTGCAACCATTCTGAAATTTAACTTCACCAGACAGTTCGATAACTATTAGCCAGAATTTACGCGAACATATTGTAAAAATAACTATAATGTAATTTTTTAAAAAGAATTTACAAAATTCATTTTCTTGGCTAAAATTCCAAAAACTAAAGCCTTTTAATAAAATAACATGATCTACAGTGATCGTGTCACTGTAGATCATTCTATTCAATTTGTTGTTCTCTCTACTGTGGCAGCAAAACGAATTTTTGTACTTTTTTAATCAATCGATGCAGTAAGATAGGTTAAAAGTAGTTCTTAAAGATCACTATTCAAAACGACGTTACTTACTACAGCCATCGCTAAATTTGTAGAAAACTCAATTCAATTAATTTAAAATCTAAAATTACTGTTCAAAAAAGAAAGATGGTATGCACAACTGTAAATGTACTGTTATAACTGATACAATGTGCAAATCAATGTTAAAAAATTGTTTCCAAGATTCAAAATATTTCACTAAAAGTGATATCCGCTGTTTTAAGATTTTCTTATCGCTGATTAGCTTACTGCAAATCTTTTCTTCAGAAAGTTAAATACAAATGCCAGTCGCAATCTTAATGAGTGGATCACACAAATTCATGAGCAAACCTGTGCAAGCCACAAACTTGGCAGTAAACTAAGTTTTCCCCATCCAACTTCTTAGTCCCTGATAACGCCAAAGTTTTCGATGATATGGTGACTGCGCTGGAATGCATTAAGCATTTATCTTGACCATTTAATGTCACCGCTGCTTCTAAGCTTTTCGTAGCAACTGAATCGTTCTCCTCATTATCGCCATTCATTGTCCAGGTCATTTCAATCGGTTGAACAGCCACAAAATTTTTTTCAATAACGTAACTTTTATTCAATAACCTGCAAAACTTATTGGATGTACCTCGAAGAAACTTCGGCAACGAATAGGAAAGAGTTCCAATGACTTACTAGGGAATAAATCAAAGAAAAGTTGAGAAACCAACCACACCAAGACAATAACACGCGATCTACATAAAGATGATATCTAGATTACAGATAAATCTATACGCGAACGATGTATTTTAACCCAATATTATCCTTTGACGATTGATCGATCGAACTATATCTTGAACCTTCGTTTCTTTCTGGAGTTTCATTACAGTTCAAGTTCAAACTTCCATTGGATATGAGATCATGTTTTATCGATTGCTGCTCCGAATTCCATTCACAACGTTCTGATTTCTCATATTCAATTTTAGGCATTACCTATAATTGCATAATTACCACAAATGGTATTTTTTGAAGAGGAGATCAAATGTCATATCTTATGTGCAATTAAATTGGGTATGAAATGAAATAAATGCAGTCATCAATGATAAATACGCCGAAATATGTCCCTTTACAACGTTCCCTCTAATCTACTTTCGTAATAAATGCCTATTTAAGGCGAAAAACTTTAAGAATTACTGAAAAAAAAAATTTTAATTAAAAAATCAATGAGTTACAATACGGTACTAACATTTCTTCTTCCAAACGGCTTGATTCCTTTTACAATGCGAGCTCCCCGTCTAGTTTGACGTATTGTTCGAAGGTGTGTTACATTGACGTTTACGTTTAATGGCATGCTTTCCACACATTTTTCGAGCATTTCTAATGGGTCACGTCGTCCGAAAAGAGTTTTAAAATCGATCTAAACAGAACATATGCTTTTAATATAAATGATGTGGCTCAGAAAAGATCGAATTGCAACTTAAAAGTAAATTGTACAACATAAGATATTATTTTGAAGAATTTCTAGAAGAATGACAAAATAAAGTTCAAAAACAAATTCACATCAAAAAATTTCAATAATCATCGCAAATTTTTAACATCAGACATTAAAAAGATCTAAAACATGAGAAACATCTGTATATCTAGCAAGTAACTGACCGATACTAGCTAATAAATCCGAAAGACTCAATTAATCATAATTCGACTTCCAAATACCAATTTTTTTGCGAAATCAAAACAATTTTTCTACAAAAAAATTGGTGTACATAGTCACAAGAATGCGAGAAATAGATATTCACATTTAATCCAAATTTTAAGTTTAAGCTCGATGCATTTTGCATGAGAAATTAATCCTCAGGAAGAACAAACTCACTTGCGCAGTTCGCTGCTTTTGTTCATAGTTTTTATGATGTCCAATCAGCCGTTGAAATTTTTTTGCTGCGACCAAATCTCTAGTTATATCGTTAACGGTTACCTTAAAATATCCATGAATAAACAACACCGGCATTTAAATATCAAAATTACATTCATTCTGAAGTAATATTTTCTGGATAAATCAACATTACCATATCAAAAGAACTATGAACTATGAAAACTGTTTCTGATCTTAAAACACTTTCTAAAAGTTGTTTTAGAATAATAGCCCAAGGATCGCAAATGTTCTTGATTTGAAAAAAAAAATGTATAATTGGGCAATGATTACTGCTGATTTCTCGAAACTCTGCAGAGATTTAATAACTGAATAAATATGTTGATTGAATAAGGAGATAGAAAAACCTGCTGATCAAATAAAATGAAGTTATTAGAAGCATCCAGCAAGGTACGTAGAGACTCCACATTACCATTACGTACCAACTGATTTGCTGGTGCTTTTTCAGCATCCAACTGTAAAAAGGAAAAAAAGAGAAACTTGAACTTTTAAAAAACTTAGCAATTATAAAGTACCTAAGTAATTAGTTGCCATCACTCGAAATTATAGCATTTGAAAATAAAAATACAGGCAGAGAAACAAATCTCACCAACAAGATCCGAGCTTCATTTATTAATTTCTTATGACGTTCCTCTGGATCTTCAAAGTCTACTTCATTTTCATTGGTTGCAGTCACAGTTCCCTGATTTAATGGCAAACTTCTTCGTTTCCAATCGTTCTTTCTGGTTAATAATTGTCATAAGGCCAGATAATACTATGTGAATTTAAGGCAAAAAAATTCTCAAAAAAAACCAAAAATTCAACATTATTCAGAAAGTTATTGGCAAATTTTTGAATCATGCATAAAATCATACACTTCAATATGCAGAGTACTTTTGCTCCTTAGTCGCAGAGGTGATGGCGCTCTAAAAGTAAAATCATCCTCATAACCACTACTCTGCATAACTTGAACGATGCGATGAATACCTAAAGTATGAATACCTAAAGTATAGATGAGGCTTGGAAAACTGGAAAAAAAGGCCATAAAAATCCAAAGAACCTGAACTCAACCGATGAACTGTCGCTTTTGGTTTCCTTTCAATATCACCGTTTCTCTTCAACTCATTCAGGAGTTTGTGCAAAGTATCGGGCACATCCTGAAAAATATAGGAATATGACAAGGCTGAAAAGTAAAAGTTATTATCATGTTTGTTGCTAGAAGTAAATTCGGATTTTAAAATATATATATATATTGGAACTTACATTTGTCACGCGTGATTTAATGTGATGAAATTTTACTTTGCTGAGGATATCCTCCAACTGCTCACAATCCCATACAGTGACCGAATTGTAATTCTTGTTCATGATATAATCTACGTAAATTAATTGTGCGGCCTAAAAAATACTCATTTATCGTGAAATTTTACATCAATTTCATACGTGCTAATTATGCCTTTTTGGAGCTATCATTACAATTACCACATAATACTCTCTATTCTATTATGTTTTCACTAGAAAAAGGATAACAACTATAACAAAAGAAAAAGACAAACCCGACAGAAAAAATTATAGAATAACGAACCTGTAAATAACACTGCCTCCAATGAAGTTTTTCTACAGCTTTCTCAATCGTAAACAATGTTAACTTTCGTAAACTGCCTGCTTCCGATAAGAGAAAGACATCCGCATTGTTTACTGCATATTCTTTTATTGAACCTGAAATCTTTTTTTCCATTCACTGTACTTTTTGTAAGTCCTTATATTTCCTTTCAGTGTTTTTATATTAAGCAATAAACTGAAAGACGTACCTATACAATCTACCGTGCTCATAAGCACCATATGACTATCCATGGGATCGATTAAATAAAACGTTGTATCTGTTTTCGTTATCAAAAATAACTTACTGAAAAACAACTTTTAATGTAATACTTAGTTCACTGATACGACACATATTTGAAAACATGATGCTAAAGCATAACACTTTGTAACAAAATTAGCAAATTTCAAAACGTTAAACGTCACATGCCGCGTAGCATGTCAAGGATAATATCGACATCATTCATCGAGATTCTCAAGATTCTCCAACGACATTACGAAAAATAAAGATTGAAAGTGAAGTTTACTTTTGACACTTGATCAATGTCAAAAGCCCGAAATTGATATTCCGAATTTCATTAACACTAGCCATTCTGTCGAATAAGTTATCGTCCTTGAAGGACACCACAGGAAATCGACAAACAGTTCTCAAATTTCGGAACTGATGAGTGCTGCAACAGCAAACATTTTGTTAACGATAGAACTGATATTTTTTGAACTGAATGCAATCTGTCTACTACAAAAATATCACGTCATACCAGCCACCTAACAGAAATTGAATACGTTTACTCGGTTTTTGAAATTCAAATAAATTTAACGATTTACTAAATTTTAGATATTATTTCAGAAAACCTGAAACCGAAACCTGTATACTACACCGCGACCGTTAGCTTCCCACAGTCGACCATTTGGACGACTTGCAAAAATCACTGTCAACTCATTACACGCGTTTGTATTCACCGATTTCGTGAAATTGCCTTCTTCTCCATACCGCGATTTCTTTTTCTGTTGGTCAGAATAGAAGATAGCGCCAAAATGACCTTTCCGTAACCTTTTTCCAATCTTAACTATGCAAGCAATAAATTTGATAAAATTCAATTTTCAATATTGTTACTACGAAAAATGTTATTCGAATGTGAACAATATATGATGATGAATTAGAAACAATGATAAATAATCCTTGAAGAAAAACAAAATATACAATGATACAATCCACTCATTCATCCAGCTGCATAAAATAATTTAGGATAAAATTTAATTACTGGAGGTCTAAAACTATCACAACAATCAATAGCAACTTTTGCATACTTATACAAAATGCATGAAATTTGTGAATAAAAGCTTATGGCACAAAATAGCAAAGTTCGTGAACCGACCTGAATACAACTGTAAGTTCTCAGATTACAAATACAGCACCGCGTTAAAGTGGAGGCAAGCAGAAAATCATCACGTAAATCAAACTGAACAATTTCACTGTCTGTTTCAAATATAATGTCAGTTGGTGAGCGAAAAAAGTTGCGGTTCTAAAATAACTTCAGTTTACCCATCGTGTAATTATGAAATTTTTTAAAAATATATCTTGCACAAATCTCATTCTGAAAAAAGTTTAATGAATACAAAAACATGACAAGTCTCACATAAATCAGAGTCCGACTAATTCGTCCTTTCGTGTCTCCAGCGTATACCTTAGAACTGTCACTGCACCAACACAATTCTGTGACATGAATCGGCTGACCATATTCATCTTTGAAATTCAAAATTTTTATGAAAATTTTAAAATAGTAACACAGTTACATAGTGGCTTTATCTTACTGCAGAGATTTATTTGTTTACGGCACTCTCTAAAACAAAATTAAAAATTTTAAAACAATTATTAATTCCAACCATCATAAGTAGAAAACTCATATTATATTCACAAAAACTAATTTAAAACATAAAAAAATATCCAGTCTTTTATAAAATTTTTTCGTTTATTTTTTTCTTCTGGTCTATCGTTTCTTCGAATGACAAAATTATAAAAAAAGACAAATCTCACCTGTACCAACGTGACTTTCGCTAGAAAAAAGGGTGATAGGATTTTGGCCAATGCCGACAAGGATAGTAATTGTCAGAGAGCCTCGTTTACTTGCCGCCGCCAAATATTTCTCATTAGGTGATATAGATAACTATAACTGGTTGAAGTTATATCAGGATTTCAATTAAATTAATATAAAATTGGATTTTTACAAAAATTTGTAGAGACTCAACTAACTGATAAAGACTTCATATTTTAAAGTTCTTGCTGGAAAAAACTGAGTAGAGAACTAGCGTAAAGTTAAAGTATCAGGAATAGAAAGGAAGAGAAACTACGTCAATATAATAACCTTAATAATAGGTCCTTCCTTGATGGAAATAACTTGTATTGGAACAGAGCTTATGCGATTCCGATATTTCGAAGCAAACCTTGAAAATAAATAAACTGTTCCACTTGTCGACCCAACGGCTAAGTAATGAGCAGACGCATCCAAACAGGTAAACTGAAAATGGAAAAATCTATTGATTTGGGGTTTCAAATTTTAATCTTGTCTGACCACTTGAAACTGTTTGTATGAACAAGGTATCCTAATTAAAACTAAGATGAAAAACAGGAAGGAAAGCAGTAATTAATAAGCTGAAATTACGAAATAATAAGAATTTTAAAGTCTTGAAATTAATTCATGAATACAAATTCGCCTATTTGATTTTAACAAATTTCCAAGTGTAACAATGATTCAATTCTTTAGTTTTCTAATATTTCCTAGCACACATCTCACAACGAAGCAAAGAACTTAAATATAATTAAAGCTTAGCAATTGAAACTTAATTAATCTATATCAAACAGAACAAGATACCAAAGACTATCTGACTCCATTAGACATTCTGTACTAAATGTCAAACCTTAATTCGAGTAGATGAACTCGTTGGAAAGCTTAATTCCTCCAGAGATGTTAATTCAACAAAAAGATGGGTGAGTGGCGAACTGCTGCACTCGTCTTCCTTTTGTTCCTTTGCTGTCTTCGTGCTACTATTATTGCTGCACTCAGAGATGAAGAAATCCATGCTATCGAACTTGGCTTGAAATTTCAGTTATTCAACAGGAGTGATTTTTACCACCAGCAGATCAACCAAAGTCCCTTCTTTCTGCTCATTCACGTCATATCTGCAATGCAAAAATTAAGTGGTTTCTTTTGATGGAATAATAGTGAGAATTGATCAAATACAATGATCTTTCAAAATACTGACAAATACGACAATCTAACAATGATAATAAAGGCAATAATGGTAATGAAACAAGACAATGACGTTATTAGTAGTAATAATAAGAAGATGACTAACGATAATGACGATGACGGTGATATGAAAATGATAACAATAATATCAACAAGTAACATGATAATAATAATAATGTTAATGATTACCAACAACAGCAGAATGGATGTTACACATCAATTACATCGAAATGAAAATTCAAAAATCAAAACTCGAAATCTAATAATGAAAACTCAAAGACAACAACTGGCAATTATATTACGAATCTGACGAAATCGTTAATCAACTGAATAATAATTGTTGCAATAATACACAGATCAACTACAACTGCTAAACAAAAAAAGCAGAAAGAGGGATGAGAAATAGCAGAGGGAAGCGAAAATAAGATGTTGAAAAGAGTATGAGATTAGAAGATACGAAGTGAGAGAGAGTGTGTGGGCATAACACGCCACATGCTTGAGGAATAATCGGAAAACGACGGGAAACCGCTCGTATTCAACGTTGTCATAAAACGGAACGGTAGTCATTCATTTAGGAGTAGACGGACAATGAGGAGCAAATGTCGAGAAAAGCCTCAGTGGGAGAACTCGAGTAATGGGACTCGAATGGATAAGCAGGCAAAGTTCATCCATAGCACGGTAGAATACTGTAGAGGTGATGACAATTCTTAATATTAGCAATCAGATGAGGTTAAAGATTATCCACGACTTACTGGAGTTGAGAGCATTGAGCAGACGGCGAGCATCGTTGTCTCGCTGTTATCTCGCTGCAACACGTAGAGGAGACTCTGAACTGAAATTCGTTCAGCTAAAATTTCCAATCCAATTTTTGAAAACGATAGTTAAAGAGTTTAGAAGATTCGGGAATTGCACGAGCGAGTAACTCCGGGAGCTATGCTCTCGGGATGATGTTTAAGCGGTCACTACTGTCTCTTCAATATGTTCTTATACAGTTGCAAATTTCAAACAATTAGAAAGCATTAAAATGTTGTTTTAATTAAAAAACGAAAAGTTTTGGATAGAATTTCCCATAGCAAACTTTCCCACACAGCGCGCTTTATCAGTGTTTTCATCAATCCGATCATTTACAAACATATGTTTCTGCAGTAAACATTCTATCACTCGTCGAATCCCTTCTTCTATCGCGACGGCACACGTTTTTGTAACTCGGAAGAAACTGATTTAAAATTTTGAGCATTTTGATATTGCTTAGGTTTCTTAGAAAAAGGAAAGTATTTGATAAAACGCAAAAGGACTTATAAAATTTAAAATTGCTTTTTTGTATTCTTCAATCTGAAAATCCCTTAATTTGATGATCCTTTTAGAACAGAACTAATTTTTAATATCACTGATGAACATTGATTTTCATTATTTTAATTGAATCCTCTTACGATTAATTATTTGAAATTTAATAAAAAGTTTTATTGCTCCAATTTTTACTTTTCATAATGTTCTATAGGAATGCAAAATTTTTGAGAATCATAAATAATATCAATGTTATCCTTTGCCCTTTCTATTTTCCACTTACGGACTAATACAGAATACATTTTCTTTTTATTTCACACATTTAATTGTTTGTTCATTAGTTGGATGGAAGTGATGTATAATATTTGAACAATGTCACAAATTACGAATTGAAGATTTGATATTTCTAAATTTAATTTACTATTGGAAAGTGCAGTGAATCAAAGTTACTCCAAATCATACTTTTAAATGCTTACATAACTTCGCTATACCTCACTTTTCCGATCAGTATGTAAATGACTAACATGAGTAGAACGTGTCAACATGTATTTTTCACATATGTAAAGCCACCTCATATTCATGAACTCTTCCCACGTAAAGCAATGTTTCTGATAACAGACAGAAAGACAGACAGAGAGACACACACCTATTCCGATTGGATATATTTCACCGTACATTCTATTCCTGTGCTGCTAACCGGTGCTTTGTTACAATGTATCAGGCAACATTTTCACACCATGCATATTACCTCCGTGCCGTTGATGTCATGCGTGGCGCCGCAGATTTCAGAGATAGGCGGCAATGGGATCATTCTCAGGAATTGGGCGGAGGAGTGCTTTATGATTCTTCTTTGTCCGTGATCAACCGCTCTTCGCTTCTCTGTTCCGGTTCCGTGTAATTCACTTACTGATCTTCCAACTAATTCATTATAATGATGCCGTAATATATTTCGCTCCGCTTAGCATATAACATTTCATAATTCCATTTCGATATTAGTCATGGTAGTACTTTATCGTATTCAATGTTAGCCATGATGATACCTTATCGTATTCGATGTTACTCATGATGATACCTTGTCGTATTCAACATTACTCATGATGGTATCTTATCATATTAGCTGTTATACTACCAAATCTTTATTGTTCTTCCTTTCCTGAAACTATACGTAAAATATTCATTGAACAGATTTAGGTATTTTATTTAAAAACCGAAACAAAAATTTCATGTGTTAATAAAGAACGGAAAGTTGAATGAGTGTTTTTGGCTTTCTTTGATATGAATGTAACGATTTAATATCATAATATCATACGAAAGCTGAAGATACTTCCTCTGTTCGCTCTACTCGAAAGTAACCATAGTTAATAAAGCGTGATAATAATAACAGATAACCTTTGCTTCGGTTATGATAATGCACTGATTGCTCAATCATCCATTTATAGCTGATTCTGATTCATTGATTTAAATGCTTTCCATTTTTTCTCTATCATTTACATCTCTCAATGTCTATTTTGAAAAATAATTTCGCATTTGTGAAATGGGTTTTACATATGTGACCTATCATGTCATGTCGTGATCTCAGAAATGAAAAAGAAAAGTAGAATTTAAGTGATGAAATGCCACTGAACTTTAATTCCATTAATTGTTCACTTATTAATTTATTTTTTATGCAAAATTGTCTAAATTTCAATTTGAAGGAAATTTTGGAAGGATTCCCCATAGACAAAAATTATCTGCGTCTTCGAGAATTCATTGAATGAATTCTCGAAGACGCAGATAATTTTCGTTAGATGGATGGATTCCCAATACTCTTGGATACATAGTTAAGATGGATTTCAAGCTCTTAGTTTTCTTTTTTTGCATTTTAAATTATTGTGAACCCGTGAGATATTTGTTTCTTGGATTTCTCACTGAAAAATATGTATCTGCAATGCACTGTAGCATTCAGTTATGCTTTAAGAAATCTATATGATTGAAATATGCGAACTAAAGTTTAATTAAAATTTTCTCGAAATTACTGAATACTGACCATTGGAAGGTCAGTACTCTAGTCTGAAGTTTGGTATGTAAGCCTATTGCACGCATACAGTACAATGTTTTCATTTAATTCAGTCGTAAATTTTTTTTTTCGGAAAATTGCAACTGCATAGGAAGTGAAAATCAAACTGAATTTGCATATTGAACATTTCATTGTACTTTTTCTATTCCATTCGGTTGTTTCGCTTCATTACATTTTCAGAAATATGCGAGCTCGTTCAGCGATTACACTTTCCGTTCCACGAATTCACCTATTGTTACGGTTTATGCTTGGAGTACTTCTTGTTTCATTATCTATTACTACATCACTTCTTTCCATTACAGTCTTTTTGCTACGTGAACGTTTTTCACAACCTTGGCGTAATTTACGTGATAGCATCGCTAGTGATGAAGATAGCTTCTCGTGTAAATTGCATGGTAAGTTCTTGACTGATTTAGAAATTCAATGCAATTAAATTGATCTTGCTTTTTTCTTCTATTTTCAACGCATATTCGTTATTACATTCAATTAATTATATCGATTACATAATATAAATTCCTATCGATATGTACTGTCGTGTGATAGAAATTATGCTAAATATATTTTATAAATATATATTGTTAGAAGAGTAAGATTATTTGTATCCGTGTGGAACCTGCACCTGGTCACGTCATATCTAATTTAAGTACTGTTTTATCGATTACAAAAAATGTCATATTTTGCTGAAATTATATCACATGAAGCCATCTTTTGCAGAGAACAAAGTGCTGCATAAAAAATTTCGTCAAATCGCTTATTGATTGATAAATATATATTTTCACACATTTTTTTTCTTGTTATATTCTTTCCATCATTGATAGAGCAATTATATACTCATCAATGCTAATTCTATCATCACATCTGTTCTATTACCTTTTGTTAAAGCATTTAAAAATTTGTCAAAATTTTTTAATTAAATAAAGTATTATGTATTGTTCTTCGAATTTAAATCTTGCTAGGCTATAATTAGTTCAATGTGCCTTATTGTTTGCTGCGTCGAATATATTAATCAGTACATTTCTTAGATTGATATCTGCTTATCACAGTCGCTGATATAAATCTTGTTATTCTTTCAGTCCGCTTATAAGTTAGAATGAATATCCCTTATCGCTTTATAGCTCTTCAATTAATTTTCAGATGATTAGTAGCTTGCTAACCATTGTTGTTAATTAGAACTAAAAATAATCGAAATAGGAATTCCATGTCCAAAATTTTGTGACAATTTTACCAAATTTCACCGGCTTCCATAGGGAATAATTGATTTTTTTTAATCATTACTTTCTACTTTTCCTTCTACGTCACCGATACAGCAATAAAATTCGGTGATATCATCCGATGCCTTTTTTTTACAGTATCCAATCTGCAACGACCCGAGGAATTTACAGTACGAAATCTTACCAGCAAATCATTGATAATAATACGATCTGTGCTGCTGCTTCAACATCGCAGATTGTATTTAAAGATTTTATTTTTAAAAAAGTGTGAAACTAACATAAGTGACATACAACTACAAGTTAGTGCTATCATACTTTTCTTAATTGTTCACATATGATATAATAAGAATTACCAATAGTGCTTTGAAATTAAAAAGATTGATATGCACCAAAAAGATGGATTAAAGAAGAAAAATAGACCGCGAAGAAGCGAGAACTTTCTGACGGTATACTCGAAAATCATCTGCTTTCATTTGCATTTAATGAATTTTCTGTTTCTGATTTCTTTTTAATTAGAAATTTCCCTGAATCAACTGCTGCTTTACATCAGATTGACTTGAAGCAAACTTTATGTCCGGTGGTAAGACATATTGAAAGTGACAATTGTCCGTGGGATTGGGCACCAGGATGTGCGTGGTCATCGTTTATTGCAACCGCAAGATTGGATTTTGTCCCCAATCGCATTCTTGCAAGTTTTCAGAATTTTCTTAAAATGAGCTCTTCAAATCTGAACTCATAAAAATAAATTTCTAATCTTTTCGTTAATGATCGAAAATAAAATCGTAAGTATTGTAATCGATGGGCATTATCAATTATTGAAATAGAGTATTGAATGTGCCGCATGAAATTGCTGATGCTTGTGTGAAGTAATCATGTCCTGATTAAAATAAAAGTATGAAATTATTTTCAAAATCTAAACAATTTCAGATTTGATAATATTTGATGATAATGTTTGTTTGCTTCATTCCTCTATGGCATACACATTTCATTTTAGCTTAATTTTAATAATCACACTATTGGACTAAATTTGGAACCATCACATAATATCGAGAATTTGCCCTTTGCTGTATGCATTCAACCGCTTTACTGGTTAGTTCATAGAAATTATACAGGAAGAATAAACAGGTAAGATGAAAATGATAACAAACTCATTCAGATGTATAAATAATGCAGATAATTAAAAAAGTAAAGAAACAATAATATACATACACTAATTTTACACCTTACGATAAAAGTGCAAAATTTTAAATATGAAGAAATTAACTTAATTAGCGCACACAACTCAATTAGAAAATTGAACAGATAGTTTTGCTAAATACAACCTCTTTCGAAAAGTTTCAACCGATGTTACATTTCACTATCCGAATATTCTCTGTCTAATCTTCATACATATAAAGCTTTTCAAATGTGCGGTAATTTTCAAAAGATAAGGTAATACATCATTATCTTATGTGTGTAGATTCTGTTTGAAAACTATTACCTTAGATTCACCTGTCCTAGAAATTTTTCAAAGTTTGTTTGATAGAAAGATTACACTTAGATGATGTTTGTCTTCCATAAATCATTTTATGTCCACTAGAAAATGATTTTAAAATGGTAGCAGTGCGGAGGGTTAAGCGGAAAATGATTTCAAATTAACAGTAAGTAAGAAATGGGATGAATTTTGGGCTATAATGATTCGGAAAGATACTGCCAAGAGTAGGATCAGGTGAATAGTGAACGAGATATGGAACCGACTTAATCTTTTCTGTAGTGGAATAAATCGTGAAATAAGGCAAATCTGATAGAGTAACTTGGCGAAATACGAATATAAACAACACAAATTAATACATCAATGAGAAATCAAAGATATATGCAACATGGAAAATATCTGTACATGGGAAATATTTCAGTTCGAATATATCAAACGATGATTAGCACGATAGATTAGATATAAGAAAGAAATGAGGCCTGCTAGTTCGAGTTCCTGCTAGAATAGGCCAATCTTGCAGAATGCAGGAGAAAGTATTTTTGGAGGAAAGACAGGGAAAAACATTCGTTAACAATAAATACTGGCCCTTTTTTCTGTTTCTTTGTTGAGAAATGGCAATGCTATTTTTTTGTCAAATTTTATTATTCTTTAAGGTATGTCGATTGGCTTCAAGTAATTGAATTCATTGAAATATGGACATCTCAAGGCGTTAATCATTTTTTCTTTTATTTTTATACCGTTTCACAACTTGTCATGGATATATTACAGTATTATGAGGCGAAAGTTTGTCACAGCACTCATCTTTTAATAGTTGAAATGATTGATTCAAATTTCCTCAGGACATATAGGATTTAGGAATTTTTATAAGCCATGAAATAAAAATAAATTATAACAATTTAACCTACTTCTAAAGTTAAATTCTATTTCAATCTTTTCAAATATTGTAGCATTTTTTAATGCGTGGTTGATTGAATCAAATTAATTAGAGTTAATTTCAGGGAACTGTAACATTACTACCATGGCGATCATTTCCTGTTGGAGAGAATGAAAACCCTAACAGAGATGTATATAGGTAATTTCATAATACAAACAGTTATTTTTTTCAAAACTCCTGTAAGGTCAAAAGTCATGCAAGGAAGTCAGGTTTGAGCATTTCATTGTATGCCATATTTCACATGCTTAAACGTGACAGTTTTTGCTATATTTTCGTTTTCTTTTCATCGATTGATAGATTGATTAAGGCAGATAACATTCTTTCATGACATTTTATTTCTTCCATCGATCTATTCCTATCCATGATGAACTAACTCTGCGGACATAGTGTTATCTATAAATTCCAGAAGTTGTGCTTTGAAGATAAATTTAATAAAGCGACAAAGTATTTTAAAATTTAATTCATCTCTTTATAATGAATAAGTCTTTTCAAAAAAAAAAAAAAATGAAGCTGAAATTGGGAAAATATTTAGATTAGCACATAGTCTCGCAAACAACGATTGTTTATGGCGTTCATACGGTGCCCATTTTGTTGCATTCGTTGATTTGGATGAATATATTCTCACTGCTAATGGGTCTGTTTCATTTTAGTATTAACGATTAAATCTTCCGCTCCTTAATTAGACTAAAAAATTGAAAAGAATTTCAAATGACGCCCTACCAAACTTTTCACCTGTCACGAATGCGGCAGTTTAAGAGAGAATGATTAGCTGAGAGATTTAAGAAAAAAAAATGAATGATTGAAATGTTAAAAGAAACAAAACAAAGAATTTCAGTATGCCGCTCATTAATTTTATTAAGAGAAAAGCGGAATTATGTCCAAAATGTGGAAGTTTTGCTGTTATGCATAGCAAAATGTATTATTCTTCGCCTCGACCTCAAAGTTTATTTTTCCTTCAATTTTTCTTTAAAAATTATTATTTTCAATTGTTTTGTGCATCAGTTTTAATACAATTGAATTTTTCGATCATCCGGAAAGATCGAGTTCAAATCTTTCTTCCTTCCTTTGATTTTTACTGATTTATCGATGATAAAACGAATGTTGAGATGTTTCAGATGATTTCCATTGGCGTGATATAAGATTTGAATGGTTAACTAATATAAGTTATGGATTGCCTGAAGCAAATGGACCACATAAACAAATAGTACGACCGGAAACAGTTTCAGTTATCTCCACACATTCCACAAGAAGGAACTTTCCTGGTTATATCGATGTTAGTGTAAGTACAATTTGTCTTAAAACTAGTAATTTAATACGAAAAGCG